CCAACTGTCCACATTAAGCGGTTGTCCACATTAACCGGACTCCACTGTATAACCAAGAGGAAACAAGAACCACCCAACAGTTCCCGCGAATTGGATGCAATCCTATGATGACTCAATCACGACTTTACACTATCGAAACTAAAATGAAACCACGAAAGATTAGTCCTCTACCCATTTTTTTCAAAACTCACCATAGCTTCAAGGCCAAAAGACAACCGCATGCTACAAAAAAAGTAAACTGACTAAAAACGAACTAAATTTAAAACTTAGGTGAAAAAATCTTAACTCAAGCTAAGGCATGATTTACTTGGATTGGGGGTCATTGTTACATATGGATCGACTGCAACGTACTTGGGAAACAGCCCATGCCAAAGTATTGAAATGCAGCATACCTACTAAGGTGCAAAAAAGTAGCAAATTATGCAAAAATAATGTTGGTAGTGAGCCTGATACGTAACTGTCACCGAACTTACCATTGAAACAAACATATTCGCAATGGCGTTAAGAGTTTCTGGACCAGTGGTTCCCATGAGCTTTGTGACCACAATTGATGGTTTGTCTATCAGAATAGAGATGATGCCCAGGTGAAACATAACAGAGATGAAAGAGGAGAAGAAGATCAGCACAGGAAGCACCTAAAAGTAGGAAGAAGAGGGAACTTTCTCATTGACTGAAAGTCTCCTGAGGATTGACCTGCTATAAACTCAGAGACCACGGTCACTTCTTTAGTTGTCGTGGCAACTGCAGACAAATATTTCGGGAACATATCCACGGGCAAAATTGGCGACTAGGTACGCAAGTCGCTGTTGAGAACCTTAACGAGGTCGTTTTACTGAATTATGAAGATTAAAAGTTTATTGTCTACATTTTGGAGGCAGGTTCCCCGCTCGTCTCCGGACGTGAGAAAATGCGCATTCAACAACAAACCTACCAAATTATTGTACTGACCGAAAGAAACAAAGACGAAACAGCTCGAAGTCAAGCTATAAAGCACGCGAGAAAGTTGAGGTCCACGAATTGAGTGCAAAGTCATTATGGCTAAAATTAATCAGCGAAATGGATGCTGAAACCAAATAGAAATCTGCCGGTTAGAGAATCGTATAATTGCAATCCATCTAAAGGCTCTGAATAAGACTGGTAAGCCTTATAGAATGAAGACCTTTCGCGAAGTAAGCACAATGGAGTACGTACTTTAAAAGCAAAGCAGTCATAATCTGCGAAGAGTAAATTGGAACCGGCAAGACTGTTTTCTAGGAATTGGGCCATTCGATCTCCTAGGAACTGAAAAGCCAGAAAACCCGCTCTGGTCTGTAGTGTAAGCACAGCGAAAAGAAGCTGGATGAAGAGGCCAACCAGTGGGGGTTGCCAGTTAATCTACAAAATGAAAATGAAAACAGATGTATGTGAAGGATCAGCCATCTCGAACGGAAATCGTGGTGGGAAGAATGATTTTATTTGTTTTACATATAGAGCTATACTTCTGCGTCGCTGATAATCACAGCATTTTCAGAATTCTCCGTTTACCTCATAAAATCTTAATTTAGGTAGAAGAGCAGTCAAATCAATTTGCGGAGTTCCGCAATTCGATAAGAACATAATTGTTGCTGAAAGTTATGGGTCAATCACACGCACTCGAACAAAACCGTTAGAAGAAGCTTCATTACTTTTTAGACAAACCACGTAAGAAGGACAGACTCACTCCAAATTAAGAAAAGATGTATGTTAATTAGACTATGAGCCTGTTAGTAATTCTGATTAAACCCATTTTATCAGTCAGCCGTCGGTAACACGTTATGATATTTTGTCCCAGATGAGTACAGCATGTCAGAGGTGGCACTTTCAGAATACGCCGCTTATGACGCAGAATCTGCATCTGAGCACAAAAGGAGTGCAATCGATAATCAGCCACTTTTCTGTGAAAGCTTAAACATGCATAGACATATTTGCTTACTTTTAACACCTTGGCATGTCTACCTTTGACTATGGAAAAAAATCATAGAAGTACCTGAAATAACGTAGCACCTGAGCCTTCTTTATGAGAACATTTAATTTTCTCTGGTATTTTATCGTCACATCAATAACTACATTATATTTTCACTTGCAAAGAACTGGGATGGCTAGAAAAAGCAGGTCTTTTACTCCGTTAAACTGGGCTAGACCAAGATAGCACGCTTTTGAGGGCACCTTTATTTGGAGATTTTCGCCATTCGATAGGAGCAGGATTATTACTTACAAGTTAAGACACAATTACACAGAATCAATTGGAGGCATTAGAAAGGGGTCTCTTACTTTTCAGGCATACTACGTAAGAAGAACAGAAGTAATGAAACGTAAAAAAGTATGCACATATGTTAGGTAGGCTATGAGTCTGTTGCTTATCCTGATTAAAACCATTTTAATATGCGA